CCTTCCCAAGATGATGTTGTAAGGGGAGGGTGTGTCGATGATGGTGAATTCTGTCTTGATCTTCCTAGTGCCAGCCTGCACCTCCAAGCTTACTGCTCCCAGTGGCCATGTCGGCGTTCCATTGAACCTAACCATTGAGCCATTGGATTGTTCCATATCATCTGGGTGAAGGCCGAGCTCCTTGTAATATCGGACGTACATGATGTCACAAGAGCTGCCTTGGTCAATCAGGATGCGTTTCACTTGGCACTCCCCAACCTAGAGGGATACTACCAAGGCATCATTATGCGGATGCTGGACCATCTCTAGGTCGGCTTTAGTAAAGGTTATCATTGGTCTATGGCACTCTTCTGCCCGATGTCTTTTCTCCCCGACTTGGTAGACATGTTGTAGGTGTTTTACCTTCTGGGTCTCTCCTCGAATTTCGTTTTCGTTGACCTTCGAGTGGATTACGTTGACTACCCAAGGTCCTTCTACCTGCGGTTGCTATGCTGGGGGAGGTGGGGCTGCTGGTGCCTGAGGCAATTTTGCTTATTTTTCTCTTGTCCTGGTCTCATCGACAAGGTCTCTCAGATGTCCTTGTCTCACCAGGTCTTCTAAGTGTGTTTTCAGGACTCTACAACCCTGAGTTGTATGCCTATCTTCATTGTGGTAGGCACAATGCCTGCCAATGTTTCTTCCCATGAACTCTCTTGGAGTCCTCTCTGGTGTTTTGAAATAGGCCTGGTTCCAAATTTGATCTAGGACTTTGTGAATTAGGATTCGGAACACAGTTGTCATTGCTTGCACGACCCTCAGTTCTGCCTCTTGTTTGAAGGATCCATTGTTACCTCGGCCTCGCTTCGGTGAGCCATTTCCCTTCTCGTGCTTTGTCTCCTTATTCCCCGACGTATCTTCCTCGGCTCTGGCATACTTCTCGATTCTGGCCATGAGTTCCTCCATACTTTTTGGTAATGTCTTTGCCAATGACTTCCGTAGTGGACAGTCATCTTTCAGGCCATTCTTGAAAGATACGACTACCACCTCTTGATTATATTCAGGTATTCGGTTAAACACCTCATAGTATCTTTTGGCGTAGGCCCTAAGGCCTTCATCTTTGCTGATCTTCAGAGCCATCAATGCACCCACTCGTAATGGCTGAAGTTTGTTTGTCACGAACCGGGCCACAAACATCTCGGCCAGGCCTTCCTAGGTCTTCACACTTCCCTTTGGTAGTTTGTGAAACCAATCTGATGCAATCTCCCCGAAGGACGAGGTGAACACTTTGCAGAGCAATGGCTCGTTCCCACTATACAATGCCATTGAATTCAAGTATAATCCAACGTGGAAGTTGGGGTCTGACTTACCATCGTATATTTAGAAACTCGGCATACTAAATCTCTTTGGTGCCTCAAATTTGTCTAGTTCCACTGAGAATGGTGTTCTCGGATTAACAGGTGAAGTTACTTCGACATCAGCGTTTTGTTGCTTCCTCTTGAGGTAATCTCTCAAGTCTTCTTTGCTCTGCCCAGGGGCTCGGCTATCTTTCGACTTCATTCTTTTCGGTATACTACTCTCGGCCTCGTGGTGAGCCATTTTTGATCTTTCTCCATGAGTTGTGTCGAAGCATAGTGCCCGCCTTTGAACATGTCGATATTCTTTGGGGTTGGCCTCCTTGGTGCGTTGTGTCCTTTGTGACTCTTCCTTCCTTGACTCCCCTCTTCCGACCTCCCTTGAAGGTCGGTGAGAGTGTCTTTCGCTCCTGGTGTGCTGGGGGGCATCTGGGATTGCTTTCTGCCCTCCTTTCTGGGCATTGGCCGCTAGAATCGGCGTGTCCTGCAGCGGGTATGGTGGCTGCATGATGTTATTTTGCATCATAAAATTGGCGACTGATTGCAAATCTGCCAATTTGTTTGCCATCTCTTTCACCTCTTCGTTCCTTCGTAGGCACCTGTCCTTTCATACCTGGAGGTCGCCTTCGTTGTAGTACCCGCTTCAATCAGGTTTCTTTGGTACGTCGCCAGTCTGGCCGACGTCTTTTACTCCGTGAGCTTGCTCATGAGTTTCTGCGTCGGACCTGTCTCCTTCGACATCAAGGTCAATAGGTCTCCCACTCCCAGCAGGAGTGTCATCCCCAATCTTTTCCTTCTGTCTGTTACTAGCCATCTATTCTACTTTCTTTCCCACAGACGGCGCCAAATTGTGTAGGTGAAAATCTGACCACACTACCAACTTAGTATTCAGTTGGAGAGCACTGGCAGAATAGATGACACCTGTCTAACCTGCAATAGAAAAGAAGATTCCGGCGGTGGTTCGTCCACCCGGGAGCACTCCGACAATCAAGTCAGTATATCTCTCATAGATAATCAATAGTGCAAACTCACTATTCAGAATATATATTGCGTACCTTAGACCCACGGGGGTGCCTCTCTTTTATAGTTAACTCAATCCTAGTCCCGATAAAAGCCTGACTTCTATGGACTCCCATTCAGTGCTTACTTTGGACTCCTCAAGAGATAAGAATAGATTCCCTAAGAACATTATCTTTATCCATCTTGAAGTCTTTCCTCATTCTAGGACTCTTGTCCCTTATCCGCTTATCTCGGATTCCGATATCTTCGGAGATAACCTCGGCCATGCCGAGATCATCTCAGCATCACGATCAGGACTCGTCGCACCTCAGCTGATACATCGGTGTCACTTTGCCACGTGTTGGTACTAAAAAATATATCTCCACAGTAAGGGCGCAACGCAAGCTTCCAGAAAAAGTACTTTTGTAGACATATATGGGCAATGTACTGAGGTCACTGTAAACAATCCCAAAGCTCTGGTAGGCCAAACACAAAGTCCTCTGATACAATTTCTATAAATGAAGCATAAAGGACATTGTTATGTTCTTCATCATTATTCAAAAGAAACAAGAAAAGAAAAGGTAACACAGTTTTGTAGGTAATATGGGAAAGAAAAGCATATTGGGGGTTTTAGAATCTAATCTATGAACAAGATTAGTTAAAAAAGAAAGAAATGGGTTGGACAATTTTCAAAACCTGGGCAATGAAAATAATGAATAACAGTGTATTGGAATGTTCACAAAACCTGGGCAATGAAAATAATGAATAACAATGTATTGGAATAACAGTGTATTGGAATGTTCACAAAACCTGGGCAATGAAAATAATGAATAACAGTGTATTGGAATGTTCACAAAACCTGGGCAAAATAATGAATAACAATGTATTGGAATGTTCACAAAACCTGGGCAATGAAAAACCTGGGCAATTTTCACAAAACCTGGGCAATGCAAACTTACACATAACTTGGGCACTTAACATACTAGTCTCTTTAAGTTCATAAAAAAATACTCATATGCCTATGGAATTTGAATAACAGTGTAAGTAATTGGGCAATTTTCATCATCCAAAAAAAATACTTATCATCCAAAACCTGGGCAATTTTCACATCTATGTAAGTAACATGGCATAACAGTGTACTTCCTCAAACATTGTATGAAAAATTAAGCATCCAAACCAAGTTACATTATAGTTATCCAAACATTGTGCATCCAAGTTATAGTCATGCAAAGTTCAAAAAACAAACAAGTTACATTACAGTCATCCAAAACATTGTACATCCAACAAACATTGTGCATCCAAACTAAAACCATAGTATTACAGATATAGTCATCCAAAAAAAAAGCAAAAAAGTCGTTCATTTCCTTCAACCAAACCATGAGCCATCTAAACATGCATAACAAAAAAATAAAATTATTTAATAAGGAAAACATTAAAAAGTTTTAAACTAAAAGAAGTAAACATATGTTAATAACATTTAACCAAGGGGAAGTATTTTTTACCAATGATATTAAATTTCAATAATATTACTCTCCGGACATGGGCTTGAACAAGAACTTGATTCTGAAACAACTACACATAAAACCTAACACAAGAAAATCATGTGAAGTGAAAATAATGAATTTGAATAATACAAAATAAATGAAATTTAAAACAAAATAAATTATTGAATGTATTACCCGAATCATATTGTTGTTCAAATTCTTCAACATCATTCATTGCTTCTCGAAGGCATATTGGAATGTTACTTCGGAGCCAATTTTGTGTACAAACAAGAACCTCCACCATCTTTGGAGCAAGTGAACTCCGAAATGGATCAAACATACGACCTCCTGTACTAAAAGCCGACTCATAAGCAACAGTGGAAACAGGCATTGCCAACACATCTCGTGCTATGAGTGATAATACTCTATACTTTGTTACATTAACCTTCCACCGCTTCAAGATGTCAAATTGAGCATTTTTCCCACCTTTCTCAATATCACCCAAGTACTTGTCCAATTCCGACATACTCCCACTACTAGAAAATTGCCCCTCCAAAAATGAGTTAAATTGAGATTTCACAAGAGAATGTGGGTCATTTTCATCTATCACCATATCTATTGTTTCATTTAAAATTGAGCATTCTTCCCACCTTTCTCAATATCACCCAAGTACTTGTCCAATTCCGACATACTCCCACTACTAGAAAATTGCCCATCCAAAAATGAGTTAAATTGAGAGTTCACAAGAGAATGTGTGTCATTTTCATCTATCACCATATCTATTGTTTCATTTACATTGGAGGCATGCACATTTATTGAATCAAGCGCGGCATAATGATCATACAATTTACTCAAACAATTTTTCACCTTCTCTAACATTTCTTTCACTTTCACAACATCTCTACAAAAAATTGTTGAAAAACAAAATTGCAAGTAAAACAACCGCAATGTACAAAAGGAGATTGATTTTATCCTCATTTCCCCAATATGTGTCAAACTTCTCTTTCATTTTCTTTGCCATTGAAGACAAAATAGGATCATTGTCTTTGATTAATTGTCCAATCATATTTTCAATGACAAAAATTTCAGTGTAGAATGTATTTGAAGTAACAAATAAAGAGCCAAAAAATCTCTTTGTTGCATTGTAGAACAATCTAAGAAATTTCAAAAACACCCTACAATTATCTCAATCCTCGGGGGTAGGCATCTCTCTCCTCTCACCCCCTTCATTATCCAAAAAGTAGTGTTTATAATTGTAGTCCTCCTCACCCATTCTTTGAAAAGCACTTTCAAATTTTTCTGCCGCCTCCAACATAAGATATGTAGAATTCCACTGTGTTGGCACATCTAGGCACAAGAGACTCTTACTCTCAATTTTCAAACTTTCCACATACTTCTTAAAAGAGTCAAAGCGGTTTGGAGAAGACCTCACATACCTCACTGCATGCCTCACATTCGCTATACAAGACTCAAGATCCTTCAATCCATCACTAACAACGAGATTTAGAATATGCGCACAACAACGCATATGTAAAAATTCATGGCTCAAGATAGTTCCCTTCCACAATTTTGTGGTTCGTTTCAAGAATCTAATGGTTAGATTATTGGAACTCGCATTATCAACAGTTAAGGTGAAAAGGCCATCAATGTCCCACTCTTTTAAGAGTGCCTTAATTTTTTTAACAAGTGTTTCTCCTTTGTGGTCTTTAACTTGACAAAAATTTATGATTCTCTTTTGTAACTTCCAATCATCATCAATGAAATGTGTAGTTAGACACATTTAACACAAATTTTGTATGGAAGTCCATGTGTCTGTTGTAAAGCAAATTCTACACCCCTTCACAATTTTCTTCAACATCTCTCTTTCATTAGTGCATATGTCTACAATGTCCCTAGCAACAATATATCGAGATGGGATCTTGAACTTGGGTTGCACGACATTACAAAACCTCTTAAAACCAACCCCATCTACAAATCTAAAGGGCAATTCATCAATTACTATCATCTCGGCAAGATGCCTCCTAGCAACTTCTATGGAAAATGGCGTAACCACAACATCAACAACACCCTCACCATCACCACCAACTTCTCTAGGTTGAAATCCCAATGTTTGTTGCCCATGAGTGTCCCTATATGGATACTTTGTACAATTTTCAAATGAATTAACAAATTACTTGTTCCGTGACTCTTAGAGCCTGCCATATATTCTTTCTTACAATACTTGCACATAGCCCTATCTTTTCCATCAATACCCTTAATCTTTTCAAAATGATCCCAAGCCTTTGATGTTGTTCTCCCACTACTGCTAGTTTTGGCCAAGGGTGGTCTACGAGGGGGAGCATTAGATTTGGTAGAGGGGTCAATAGAAGATAATTCGGGCTCGACATTAGGACTCACAAAAAAAGTTTCTTCACTTGGAGGATCCATGTCCAAAAGATTATCAAATAAACTGTCAACAACCAATAAAAAATCATTCAAAATATGCTTTTCAAATCCATGCTCTTTTTAAACAAACAACCATCAGACTCTTTGTCTATGTTTGAACATGTTAAATGGCATATGAAGATAAAAGAAGGATATTAAATGGACAAATTTAGAAGTGGCATATCAGTAAGATAAAATAAGTAAGATGAATCAAAGTTTAATGTTCACTGACTAATGAGATTAGTTTAAACTTACTAAATTAAACTGAAGAAGGATCAATAAGTTTAATGTTCATTGACTAATGTTCAGTTTGATTAGTTTAATGTTCACTGACTAAATTAAACTAAATTACATAACAGATTAGTTCACTGACTAAATTACAGAACAGAACTAAGTTTAATGTTCACTAATATATTATGAATCAAAGGATTGAAGAAGGATCACTAATTTAATGTGAATCAAATTATGAATCAAAACAAACTGTGAATCAAATTATGAATCAAAGTTTGAACAGAACAGATAACAAGAAACATAGATTATGAATTAGGGAAAAATGAATCAAAACAGATTGTTATCTGTTCTGTTTTCTTGTTATATATTGTGAATCATAATTTGAACTTCATGATTGTGAATCATAATTTGTTATCTGATAACAAAACAGATTGTTCAAAACAGAATAGATTAATTCCAGATTGTGAATAGATTAAAACAGATTCTGAATCAAAACAGATTCTATGAAGTCCCTCACAAAATCCACTACAGAAGCAAATAACAAGAAAAATAAACCAAACCTCTCTGTGGTTTTCTCCCTGTATTCCTTTCTCTATGTGTAGAACCCTTAACAGTTAACACTGTGTCAATCAATCTAACCACGTCTCTAGTTTTAGAACTAGAATAAAACAAAATAAAAATAATAGATTCGACTCTAAAGATTAGAATTTTAGAAATGGAACCAAAAAAAAAACCAGTTAAGACTCAAAAGAAGAAGAAGAAGAAGAAGAAGAAGGAGAGAGAGAGAGAGAGAGAGAGCTACCTCAGTTATAGTCAATGTAGTAGATCGATCAATCTAACCATCTCTTTCATTTTAGAACTGGAACCAAAAAAAAAACACAAAGCTAAGATTCAGAAGAAGAAGAAGAAGGAGAGAGAGAGAGAGAGAGAGAGCTACCTCAGTTATAGTCAATGTAGTAGATCGATCAATCTAACCATCTCTTTCATTTTAGCAAACCTCTCTGTGGTTTTCTCTCTGTATTCCTTCCTCTGTGTGTAGAACCCTTAATAGTTAACACTGTGTCAATCAATCTAACCACGTCTCTAGTTTTAGAACTAGAACAAAACAAAATAAAAATAATAGATTCGACTCTAAAGATTAGAATTTTAGAAATGGAACAAAAAAAAAAACCAGTTAAGACTCAAAAGAAGAAGAAGAAGAAGAAGAAGGAGAGAGAGAGAGAGAGAGAGAGAGCTACCTTAGTTATAGTCAATGTAGTAGATCGATCAATCTAACCATCTCTTTCATTTTAGAACTGGAACCAAAAAAAAAAAACACAAATTAGACTCAGAAGAAGAGGAAAGGAGAAGAAGATGAGAAGAAGAGGAAAGCGCAGAGAGAGAGAGAGAGAGAGAGAGAGAGATGCCTCAGTCTGTAGTGTAGATCTATCGTCGACGCCGTGTAGATCGATCGTCGATGCCGTGTAGATCGTCCGACGATGGGTAGGGTAGAGAGAGAGAGAGAGAATGTCTGTCTGTCGAAAATTAGGGCAAAATGAGCTGAGGAGGCATATCAGAAAGGAAAAGAGAGGCAAAATGAGGCATATCAGCCAAAAATAAATAAATAAATAAATAACCAATGATGGGTCGGGTTGGGTCTGTTGACTAAAATGGCGGATTACCCGCCACCCAACCCAGTGTTGTGAAAAGCGCGCCTAGGCGCGAGGCGAGGCGAGGCGCAGGCAGTGCAACTGAACAAGTACCAGGCGAGGCGCTTTTAGTTAGGCGCGCGCCTTAGTAGCGACTTGAACCAGGCGAGAGAGGCGCAAGGCTCTCGCCTAGGCGCGACTGATTGTTTAAGAGATAGATCTAATCTAACAGTTGTAAGGGTGTGTTCGAATGGCTCGTAATCACAGAGGATTACAACTCATGTACCATATGAGCCAAATACGACGCAGATGAACCCTAATCGAAGTCGTCTCTTCCTCTTTCGCCTCGCAATCGACTTTGACTGGGCTGCTGGAGCTGGACTTCAACTACGACTGCGACTGTGACTTGGGACTTCGACTTCGGCTTCACAGGTCTGTTCAACTTCGACTCTCTCTCCCCTTCTCCTTCTTCGACTTTTAGTTCTACTTCGACTTTCAGTTTTGGTTTTTTTTTTTTTTTGGTCTTCGACTTCGACTCTTCCTCTCTCTCCTTCTTTAGTGCTCTGTTTTGCTTCTTCTTTTTTTTTTTTTCTTTTTTTTTCTTTTTTTTCAATTATTTGAGTTGAGTCTCTAAAATTATAAAATTAGGGGAAAAATTACAAAAATTAGGGAAAAAAAATTATCTGTAATATGCTATTGAAAAAAAAAATATTTGTAATATGTAAGAGAAGAATTTATCTGTTAGGGAAAAAAAATTACAAATAATTAATTATTCACAAATAATTAATTATTTGTAATATGTTATTGATCTTTTTTTTTTCTTTATTTGTTAGGGAAAAAAATTTACAAATAATTAGTTATTCACCAAATAATTAATTAATACAATGTGGTATTGGACTTTTTTTTCCCTTTATCTGTTAGGGATTAAATTTGTTTTCCATTTATTCTTTTAATACAATTATTTTTTCATTTATTAAATTTGTTGTGTAGAAAATGACATCGGAAAGTAATAGAAAAGATCCGGCTTGGCAATAGGCTCATTTGGTTGAGGAGAATAATTTAAACAAGTTCGAGTGCAATTTTTGTGGTAAAGTATCAAATGGAGGTGTTTATCGGGTGAAACAACACCTCACGGGAGGTTAGGAATGTCATTGCTTGCCCGAAGTGTCCTTCTCATGTAAGAGAAGAGATTAGAGAGTTCATGTCAAAAAAAAAAAGAAAATACACAAAAAGAAGAAATGAACATGTTGCCTGATTTCGATGACATGGATATGGAAGATGAAGATGAAGATGATGATTTCATTGAGATCAATGTCAATCAACACCGTAAGTTGACAAGTAGTAGCCAAGGTTCATCCAAATCCAAATCCAAATCAAAAATGCCAAAGAGAAAAGGGCCTATTGATGTTTACTTCACACCTAATCCTGAATCAATGGTGAAAAATCGAAGAGACCGAGCAAAAGGGAAACAAACCAAAATTGATGCAAGTGACCCTTACAAAAAAGAAATGAGAGCTCGGGCAATGCAAAGATTTGCAAGGTGGATGTATGATGCTGGTACTCCTTTTAATGATGTAAATTATGCGAGTTTTGGACCAATGATTGAAGCCATTGGCCAATATGGTCCTGGAATGATGCCACCGACTTACCATGAAGTGTGGGTTACCCAACTCAAAAAAGAAGTGAAACATATTGAAGATTTGATGAAGAATCATAAAGAGGATTGTGCAAAATACGGGTGTTCCATAATGGCTGATGATTGGACTGATAAGAGAGGAAGGACATTGATTAACATTTTAGTTAATTGTCCAAGAGGAACCATGTTTGTTGAGTCGGTTGATGCTTCTAGCTATTCAAAGGATGGGCAAGAGCTATTTGAATTACTAGACAAGTTTGTGGAGAAAGTTGGAAAAGAGAATGCAGTGCAAGTTATCACTGATAGTGCTGCAGCTAATGTGTTAGCGGGTAAGAATATTTCCTCATTCCATACATCAAAATTGTTTACTCATAGTTTGTTTTGTATTTAAAATTTAAAAACTTGAAATAATAATTCTTCGTTATTGTTACATTATATGGAGGTTTTTGGAAGCTAAGTATGAATACTTGTATTGGACACCATGTGCTGCTCATTGTTTGGACTTGATGTTAGAAGACATTTTCAAGATACCTAGACTGAAAAAGACATTTGAAAGGGGTATTACAGTACATGGCTACATTTACTGTCACGCCCTCAAAATAATACATAAACCCATCATTTTAGACATGCCATGATGTACGAGAAATAAATATCTTTCTATTAATCAGAGTAGCTCTTACAGAAATATTACAAGCTACTTAACAAACAAATGCCCTACGAGCTTACAGCTTTCAAAGTTAATACTTGGTCACAAAAAGAGAAGAGTACTAACTTAATACATCTTAAGCCCTTGGCTTGAATTTACATATAATACATCAAAGAAAGCAAAACAACAAAGGTAGTCTGTCTACCTCTTGCTTCCCAAACTACGCCCTTGGGAGTGGCATGCTTCCTGTACCTGAAAATGGTGTCCCATACAGGGTGAGCCACAGCCTAGTAGAAATACACTAAACCAACTATAAACAATGACTAAGATAATAGCGTTCAATGGGTGGTCCGCACTTATATTCCAATTTATACTGTGTTACAGTTTAACGAAAATCATGTCCATATTACATTCACTTTCCATTTCTTAACCAATTCTCAATTCATAACTATGACTCAAAGCCTGGTCAAACAACCTATATGAGGCAAACACTCATATTAAGCATTTACATTTCGCAATAGATAAGCATACTAGCTATATCAATACATCAACAGGTAACCATACAAGCTATATCAATACATCAACAAATAAGCATATTAGCTGCATTTGCACTTCAATAGATAAGCATATGAGCTGTATCTGCACTTCAATAGATAAGCATATGAGCTGTATCTACACTTCAATAGATAAGCATATGAGCTGTATCTGCACTTCAATTTACGGTTTAAAGGTCCAGCCCCTTTCTTCCAATAAACCTTCTGGTTTAGAGGTCCAGCCCCTTTCTTCCAATAAACCTTCTGGTTTAAAGGTCCAGCCCCTTTCTTCCAATAAACCGTGGAGTACAGCCCCTTTCTCCTCCCAC